AGGAAAAATAATAATTAATTATTTCACAGGTAAATAATCGATAAAAAAAATAATAATTTCTTTTTGTCCATCACATAATCGATTAAAAATAATAATGTAATGAAATGATCATTTTATACGGAAGAAACGTGTTATTACATATATATTATAATATCGTCTTCTCGTTTACACGATAATGTAATAATATTCAATATTATAATAAACGATTATATATATATAAATACATATATATATATATATATATCGTTCTTCAGTTTTTTTTTGATTTCTTACGAATTAAATTAAATCTATCACGTTTTTTTTTTTTGAAAATTATTCTATAACACACATATATATATATATATATATATATATATATATTTCTCTATTAATTTCCTCGATTCTCAATTAATTCCTTTAATATCCTTTATTCATACGATATTAAATTATCTTAACATATTGCAAGTTACGTACGAGATTCATCGATTATTATTTATTTGAAAATAATAATCCATTGATGCACCTCTTCAAGTTATTATACCATCGTTAATTTCAACTTTAACAGTGTATATTGTTAATGTTACACGCAAAAAGTAAATAGAAAAAATAAAGAGAGAAAAATCCGGAGGGGGTTAGGGGGGTATGGAGGGGTAGGGGGGAGGGTTAGGAGTTTTCGATAAAACGTTCCTTCCTCGAACATTTCTGTCTGGTTATAAAATTTAATTTATGTTCTTATTACGTGATACCCGGCCACTGGAAACAGAAAGGAAGAAGGAAGAGGATAGGCGAACAAAATAAAAAAAGAGAGAGAGAGAGAAAAGTTCACGAGAATGTTTATGCGCGAGGCCGACTGCATAAAATCCATGCCGTTAATAATTTAAAGGCGTCGGGAGAGTTCGTTTTTATTGTCGAGTTCGTCCAAGAGGTCCGGCTTCTTCTTTCGTTGAGAGGAAAAGAATACAAAGAGAAAAAGATAGAGGGACGAGAGAGAGAGAGAGAGAGAGAGAGAGAGAGAGAACGTAACAACTTTGCTACTTCTGGAAGGTCGCGCAGCTAAGATCGAAGTCATTGCCTAGATCATAAATCTTTCTTTGCTCCTCTTTTCTTTTTGATCCTTTTTCTTTTTTTTTTTTTTTTTTTTTTTTGATAAACAAAAAAGCAACCTGAGAGTTTCGTCAAAATCGTTGACGAAGTTTCTAACATGATCGTCGCACTTCTTCTTCTTCCTCCTTTTCTTCGTCCTTTTAGAATGATTCGCGAAAAAAAAAGAAAAATAAATAAATAAATAAATAAAAATAGTTGATTTATCATCGTCAAATAAATTAATGAACACGATGTCCATCTAATTCGATTTGTCCATTAGAATATCGACATATCGTTATGGCACATAAGTATACGCGTATTATCGACCAAAAAAAAAAAAAAAAAAAAAAAAAAAAAAAAAAAAAAATCATCAGTGAACATACGTTCTATGTTTAAAAAAAAAAAAAAAGAAGAAGAAGAAGATCGCACAAAAAAACAGGAGAGAGAGATAGATAGATAGATAGAGAGATAGAGACAGAGTGGTAGAGAGAGAGAGAGAGAGAGAGAGAGAGAGAGAGAGAGAGAAGGAAATGTTTTGATCTGATTTTTCTTGCATTCTTTTCTTTTTTCTTAATTTTTTTTTTCATTAATTCTCCTTCCTTAGTTCTTATTATATAGTTTTATTATTATAAAAAAAAAAAGAATATATTTATATATATATATATATATAAGAAGAAGAAAGAAGAAGAGAGAAGATGATATGAGCAACAAGCTCAACGTGCGTGGGTGGCCACACCGACGGCTACTTTACGATGGCCGCGACAATGCATTATCTTCCCTCCGAATTCGTCGTCGACATTGTTACATTGTGCGAAAAGAAAGAAGGCCACGTGCGTGTTGTTAAAGTAAGAACGCGAACGAAAATAAGAAAAAGAAAGCACGGGAGGAAAAAAGAAAGAGAGAGAGAGAGAGAGAGAATACTTTCGTCGATTACGTACGAAAGTCGATATGTCGCGAGTTATTATACTTTTTTATTTTTTCTTTTCTTTTTTTTTCTTTTTTTCTTTTTTTTTTTGTTTTTATCGTTTCACATACAAATATATACATATATATATATATATATATATATATATATATATATAGATACTCATTACGTAATATTATTTTAAACGATCACGATGATATTATATATATATATATATATATATTGGATATGTAAAAATAATTCCAATTGAAAAAGGACAAAACGAACGAAGATATCGTAGAAACGCATATGTTCGTAATTTTATTTGTAAGATACAAAAAGAACGAGAGATAAATAGATGGATAGATACATAAAGAGAAAGAGAGAGAGAGAGAGAGAGAGAGAGAGAAAGAGAGAAAGAGAAAGATCGTATAAAATGATGAAGCGACTCGTATTTCGGTGGAGAGTCTCTTCGCTTGCAGATTAATCATTCTGTCTTCGGCTCGTGCCCGTTGCCATAAATCCGTAAGTACT